CTTTGAGGTGCACTTTTTTACTCCGTACATAATAACACTTTGAGGGAATTCAAATTATTATTAGTATTATAATTCCGAGCGGTACAGGAAGAGACGATTCCAATTGATCCCGCAACCTCATCGATGCAAGTAGAGGTGGCAAATGGATTGATCCATGGATTGGTGGATCAATGGATCAAATGAATTGGTGGATTCATGGATTGGATCAAGTGGATTGGTGGATTATCCATGAATCCAAATGACATCCTCAACCAAGGACTAATATATAAAATGTGAAAAGTTTAGGTACTAAAATGTCATGATGAAAAATTTAAGGTATCAAAATGTAATTTCCCAATGATATTTTCCATATAAAAAATAAATTTTGGGTACCAAAATATAAAATATAAAAAGTATAGGTACCAAACCGTAATTTGCCATTTGAATCCATGGATCAATCCATGAATCCACCAATCCAATTGGATTTGGATCAAATGGATTGGATTTAAATGGATTGGATGAAGTGGATATTTTTAATGGGTTGGTGGATTGGATTGAGAATTGCCACCTCTAGACGCAAGTAATTCTTCATAGGGTTGCATGTTCAATTCAGTGACAGTAGGGCTGAAAATGGGTCTGACCCGGCCCTGACCCTGTCTGACCCGCTTCTGAAGGGTCACGATGTATAACTGACCCGTCCCAACCCTGTTTCTTTTATGACCCTGTCTGACCCTTTAGAGTCGGGGCGGGTCAGTGGGACGACCCTAATAAATACACTACTTTTCTAAAAATTATAATTTGGTACCCGAACTTATTCTTCTTACATTTTAGTAGCTAAATTTTATTTTTTTACAAATAAGCTCCAAAAATTTGATGAAAAATTACATGTTGGTGCCCAAATTTTTTTCTTTTTACAATTTAGTACATTAACTTTTGAAATTTTACAAATAGGTCCAACATGTTTGTATGATGCTAAGGGTCATAGGGTCAAAAAGTGACCCGACCCTAAATTGACCCGACCCTACCTGACCCGATCCAAGCCGACCGACCCGATCCATGCCCCCCCCCCCCCCCTAAGATTATAAAATACATGTAAATTGCATGTAGACTACATCTAGAAGATAGTCCAAGTGGTTGGTATGCTAGCCTAATTTCCTTTGCTTGTGGGAAGTCAGCTGTTCGATCCACGTACCTGTCCTATTTTTATTGAATCCTACTATCTACAGCTAAGGTTAAGTGATTAGTTTGCTGCTCTGTGGGTTGTCGCCGCCGAGAAGAAAGTGGTTTGATTTAACCCACACAATCACTTTTGGTTTGTTAATACTTAATATTTGCTTCTTACTTTGATTAAATGTTTGTTTGACATATATAAGCATACATTTTTTATTGGTACATCCAAAATAACATTACTTAATGAAATATTAATTTCATTTCTTTGTTACATAAATATATTAGTGATTTGTACTTTAAGAGTTAAAAAAATTACATATTTTTTTATAGTTCAAATATTCATTCAAATAATTCATTAACAGACCGTTTGGAACCAAATGAATCTAAAATTCATTTCGTTTTAAAATGAATTCCTGTGTAGAATTCATTGTCAAATGAATTCATGTGTTTGGTATATGCTATTAGCGTTACAATCAAATTCTTGTCGACGTTCCTCATACTGCATGAATTGGCGCCAAATAATATATGTAGAAGCAATTTTGTTAATAAATGAGAATGATTATGTCCTTTTATCATAATTGGTAAATACTTGTGAAATTCATTTGAAAATTTCATCTCAATTCCTCGGAATTGCTATAACTAGTTCCAATTCCATAGAATTCAAAATTTAGAATTGAAAATGAACTCTTTTAAATACCAAACACAAAAAGATTTCATTTCAATATGAATTCCTAAAAACTTATGAATTCATTTATACCAAACGATATATAAATAAAATTCCGTCAAGTTGGTTATTTGTAGCGTTTGTCAAGAATTTATGGACATAATTGTTCTTATTATGTCATCGAAAAAAAAATGGCCCCCCCTAACTTCAAATCCTGGCTCCGTCCCTGCTAATTACGCTCTAATTTTTTAAATTTATCGCCTTAATTTAAGTAAGTTGACGTTTGCCCCTCACAAAATTCGCAATCAATAACCTAATTTCCAAAAAAAAACCCGCCCTAATCCGCGCTCTGTTCAGCAATCAGCCGCTCCTGTCGCGGCCGTTCGCCTTGGGATTCTTCCCCCGTCGCCGCCGTTCGCCTGGAATCCTCGTTCGTCGCCGCCGCATCTGCCCATTGCTCCCACTTCGCCCTCCTTCCTCCTCAACCGCGAAGAACCAAATCGTGACAACCTGTCTTCTTCCTCCTCCTTCCTCGACCACGAAGAACCTCGGCGCGGCGGTTCCTTCTTCCTCCTTCGAAAAACATCGATGGACAGACGATTGAACCCGGCGATAGCAGCGCCGTCTGGCGGGGCGGGATTCGATTCTCTCTTATGCGTCCTCAATTGGTGGAGCGGCAGGCCTGGCAACTGAGACGGGGCGGAGCGAGTAGCAGAGCAGCCACGCTAGATGCCGCCGTCAACCGAGTAGCAGAGTAGTCGCGCGAAGTTGGCGAAGGTTTCCGTCAACCTAGTAGCAGAGCAGCCGCGCGAATCGTCAGCCGTCGGTGAATTTCAAGAGCCGGATTTTCCTTTCTAGGTGGTGGGGTAATATTGTCTGTTTGGTTTATTTAGGGCGAAAATTTTAAAAAGCTAGGGCGTTAAATAGGAATTCAGTTTAAGACCCCAAAATTAGTCATTTATTTCACTTGATTACCATGGAAACTAGAGTGCAACAGTGACATATGTGTATAAAAATTACATATAATGTAGGGGGAAAAATAAACAACAATATATTATTATAATGCTAAATCTTCAACAATCACTACTTCTTTTCACTCATCAGTAAGTGTGCTGCTAGCCTTTAGGTTCTATCCAACCACAAATGTGCACTTCACTAGTAGGTAGGAAGTCTTCCATCACATCATCGTAGTCGAACGTGTGATACTTATGCGTATCCAGCGAATAGAACACAATGCTTCCTTTGGCAGAAAGTCGAGAAAAGTATATTTTGTTTTCCATTCCTGGAATTTTTGCCATAGTCGAGAAACATGATGTGTTACTCAGAAACACCATGTTTGATCCCAAGCTGTTGACTCTCCACCAACCCTTCTTCTGTCGATCGAACCTGTAAACTAAAATTGACTTGCCGAGATCACCCACTAGTATAGACATGATTTCACCTTCACATTCCACTAGATACTCCCTCTTAAATTTAAGGTCCTCGTTAGGATCCACGACGTGATGAGATAGGAGCTTCCATGGGTACACGTCGCGTTCCCATTCGTATAGTCCCTCGACGCCACGACGACAGTTGAAAACACCTAGTTTTCTCTTCTTATCCAGGAAATAGAACTTATCGTCCAGAAAAGCTGGGGTGTTGTGGTCGCTAGGTTCAAAATTCGCCTCCGCGTCCTCCAAGTAATGCCACTGTCCCTCATTCAATTTCAAGAAATAGAACCATATGCCACCATAGTCTTTCATACTTCGCGCTACTCCCATAATGGAACAATGTGGAGACGTAGGTGCGGCCGAGACCCCAATGCTTATAGGGGAAGGAGGGTATATCATCTCAGGAACACTCCAAACTTCCTCTGTAAAAGGATTCCAAAATGTAAACAAAAACACTGGTTGAGGCAATGGATTCACAGCGGGTTCGAAGATGTCATGCTCCATGCACGTCAGCAACCAACGCTCTTTGGAGAAGACAATACAAGTAGTTGAATTTGACGATGGAGATTTGGGAAGCAGTTGTCGTGGATTGGTGAATGTGTTTCTACATCTCAAGTCGTGGAGATGGAGGCTTGTCGTGTGGTGCTGAAAGAAGAAGAACCATGGATATGTCGAGGGAGACTGGAGTGCTAGGCCGTCCAAGGTAGTCATCAACGGTGCTATCAATCTCAATGTCTTACAAGAACTGTGCAAGTTCCTGTAATCACCCACCACAGTCAAACGTCTGGTTATATTGTGAAGCATGTCTAGAGGAAGGTCCAGTATCGATACGGTCTTGGATGACGACGATGCAACTCTGCCTTCCTTCTCTTGATACTCAATTGCTTGATGTGCCCGTGTGACACCATTCTCGATAGCAGCTGAGCTACAATGGCGACTAGTACTAGTAGTTTGGCCGCGATCGTAGCTAAGGAAGAAGATGGAGGATCGGCCAGAGTCATCGTGGAGGTCTGCTTCAGGAGGGGCGAGCATGAAATATGAGGATTGCCCTGTTTCGACATCAAAAGCAATGGTTCGATAATGATCGCGAAGGAAGTAAACACAATTGGGTTTTGGTCCTTTGTGGCCTGACGGGGGGATGCAGGAGAAACAGTTGTTGGGGTAACAGAAGAAGATGGCTCGTCCTTCCAAGCTCTTAACTTGAACCCATGAATAATAAGTAGACGATGGCGACGAGGACCTGGACTTGTGCAATTTGAAAACTTGTAAGAATTCGAGGTCACTGTCACTACCCCTCAACTCGCAAAACAGTAACTGAAGTAGTTCCCCACCTGACTCAACCAAGCGGCGTTGGAACCTGTTGCTGTTTGGTAGAGATTGTGGCCCATTGTCTAATACCAAACTTGCCACCAGCTTCTGTTGGCTTGTTAAATCTTTCTGAATACCAAATAAGTGTCCATCCACTGTAATCGCATATACTGTCTTATCTTGGCAAACTGTGAGGAACAAAAAGTATTTCACGTCACGAAACCTCTGTACAGCCCAACCCTTTGCAGCAGCTGCTGGTTTGCAATGCTCGAGCAGTGGAATTCCGCGGCGAGCAACTATAACTCTGCAGTCGGGGTGCGTTGGAGGATGCGTCATTATGATGGAGCACCAGTCGACAGTGTTCAACTTGGGTAGTTTGATGGACTCCATAGTGGCAGGATTGAACAAACTCAAGCATGTTGAGTTATCGGGAGGCCCAACTTGGAAGCCAGAGATTAACCACCCGAAAGGGGAGTGCCCAAGGACCGAGGAGTATTTAGGAAGCACAGCTGCAGGGAGGCAATGCTGTGGGAATTGCGTCGCCGTTGAAAACAAAGTTAGGTTCTTTTTGTGCACACTGACCACCCATGGAACATCTCTTGCAGACACTGGAAATTTCCCTGATAATGACGACGACGACTTCGACTTCTTCGATGACATGGTTGATCGATCGAGATGGAGCTAGCAAGCAAGGAACGAAGGAACCGATAATAATTTCTGAAGAGAAGGCAAGGTTTATATAGGAGATTTGCTTCCCGTTTCCCACTCTGATAGGGAAATAAAAGGCCTCTCTGATTCCGGAAGGATAGCCGTCAAAGCTGTTTTTTTTTTCTTTCTTTTTCCGGGTGTTCTTTCCGCAGTTGGGTCGAAGAAGAAGTTGAGGCTTCTCTTCTTTCTCTCGGATCTGGATTCGTCGATTGACCGGAACATGGGCCACGCAATCCAGGGACACCTATAACTCCCAATAAGAGACACATGCTGCCTTATTTTCTGGATGATTAACTCCCGAGTCCCGACTACAGGGCGCTAACTCGCGGCCTGTCCCCGTTGCTGCAACTTCACTTGCGGTGGCGCGTGTTCCGCGGCCGTGAGCACCCGGCGCAGTGGCACGAGAGGATTGGCCGGCCTTCTCTCCCCCGGCCGCCTGGTCCTCTCGTCTGGTTCCGCGCTGTCTCCCTAGGTTTTCTCATTTCCAATGTTTGATTGTTTTGCCTATTTCACAATTTGAAATGGAAGCCTAATTATGTGAGTATCCGTGAAATTTCTCAGGCGAAGGAATGGCTGGCCTGAGTTTAATATTCTGATGACAACAACGACGATGTCCTCTTAGTAAGATTCTAATAATTCCGGGATTTATCGATCGTTAAATTGTTTGACTGTGGCGGTGAGGATTTCATTCATTTTTTTTTTTCTTGCTGCAGTAAGGTACTCGAGAATGATCTTCCGAGTTGCGCTCTACACCAGGTTCGTTCGTCGTCGCTACTTGATTCATCAGTAGTTGAGTAGTGAACGTTTCTGCAGTTATGAATTGTTCATTTGCGCTGTGAAATGGGTAGTAATTGTATCCATTTTCCGATCGAACCAGTTTTGTCCTGTGGATACCCCTGCCGCCATTGATGCTTTCGTGTGCTACTGGAAGCCAAGTGCAGTTATCTTATTGGAGAGTGAGATGTGGCCGAATCTGATTATGATTTCTTCTGCTAAGGGTGTAAGTTACGAGTTATCCATCCATCCATGTGCATTATAAGCCATGGTTCTTCCCTGTGAATTATGATATAGTAATTGTTTCACCTATGCAAGTATTCGATCTTTGAATAGGTAGTATAGTGGGATTGTGAATTAGGCTTTGCTTGGACTTTGGAGGAGTTTAAATGAGAGATTAAGAGGGGAAAATTGATAAACAAAAGCTATTCCTCGTTCTCGTTCCTTAGAGGATAGCTTCTTTGGTGGGGTTATGCAATATGCTTGATTATATGCCTTGTGGAGTGACTTATCGCCATTGAATGATGTTGCAGATTCTGCTTACATTATTGAATGCTCGGATGTCTTTGAAGTCCTTCAAATTTTGGTCAGGATTGGCGCTTCCCTTGATATCGTTAATGCTATCCAAGTTTGTTTTGATTGTCCCACTAAATGACTTATCGCCATTGAATGATGTTGCAGATTCCACTTACATTATTGAATGCTCGGATGTCTGTGAAGTCCTTCAAATTTTGGTCAGGATTGGCGCTTTCCTTGATATCGTTAATGCTATCCAAGTTTGATTTGATTGTCCCACTGGTACATTCTCGGGTTATTGTGTCTTCTTTTCTCTCATTGTTGTTGTGGTGTGCTTGATGCTGATAGTGTTCTTTTTTCTAGAGTACCACTCAGGCAATACGCTTCCAGCTTCTGCAAGCTCCACCTTCAATCATAAATTTTGCTGGTGATTTGAAATACGGTATGTTTATCACACTTATCATCTAGTAAAGTGGTATTCCTCTAAAAATGAAAATTGATGTGGTATGTTTACTATTTTGTGTTTGGTCAATCGTCACACTTCACACATCTTGGTTGTTGCGAGGCATAAGTATAGATTTTGCCCATGGCTGAGAACTAGGTATCTGAATTTGCCTTGGTTGTAGTTTCTCTACACTCTCTTCTTATCACATTTTTGGGCGTTCCTAAGTTAGAGTGAGGTGTATATACTTTACACCGTGATAGAAAGGTGATGATATATCTATTTCAGTGGTAGAACCTGACATGACCAAGAGGAATATAGCAAGCACTGAAGATTTGAAGGACGAGCTCTCTGATAGGCATGTATGGATTGCTGCATCAGTTCATAGAGGTGAAGAACAAGGTGTGTTCCAGTTGCACTGGTTTCTTACTTGGTCTATCTATGCGTCATGTCAATACTATATTATTTAGATTAATCTTACAACTTGATGGTGCATGGTATAGAATATTTCCATTACAAAATGTCAAAATTTTAATTTGCTTTTGTTTGTATTGGTTGTCAGGTTTCCTGAGTTATTGTTGCTTTCTAAGCACTCATGACTGTCATCTTTTCAGTAATGTTAGCAGTTCGCAGATCGTTGGCCCGAAGGTACCCTGACTTGGTGACTATTATTGTCCCTCGCCACCTGCAGCTTGCGCACCATATTGTTGAAGTATGAATTTCAGTTCTAGCTCCATCTTTCTTCGCCTCAGCTAGTTGTTTCCAGTCTAAACTATACTTATGAGTTTGCGTGTTTGAGTGGTTACTTTATGGAAGCATAAACTTTAGGCATTTCTCGTTTAATGTTTTGTTTTGTTTAAAAATGTGCAGGAATTGCAGTAAGATGGACTTCATGTAGCCTTGAGGTCTCGAAAGGAAAAGATCACGGCCATAGGACAAGTGTACGTGGTCTACACTTTAGGTTTGCTTCTAAACTCTCCCAAGTTCCATTAGTTGATGGCCATGCATAACAAACCTGTTGCATGATGTTAGTAAATCCTTAACTCAAACTTGTTCAATAGGTGAATTAAGGCGTCTATATAGCCTAACTCCAATAGCTGTAGTTGGCGGTTCCTTCTGTCCTAGTTTTGCTGGCCATAACATATCTGAAGCTGCCGCAGCTGGCTGTGCTGTTTTAACTGGCCATTGTTCTTCTCTCTCTATCTCTGTCGACCCCTGCCTTTCATGCTATATATAAACTAATGTTTTTTAAAGCGCTTCACTGCTTCTTTAGCTTTCAGGTTTTCATGCCAGACATTTCTTACACATGATAAATGAAATGCAAAGACTGGATTCTCTTTCAGTTATGCAGGTTTTCGATGCCCCTTTCACTTCTCTGGTTCATTCATAGCCTTCTGACTGCTACCATTTTTAGCTCTTTAATTGACTGTTTTGTTCTGTATCACTTCTTCAGGTGTCTGGAAAGGAAGAACTTAAAGAAGCGCTCTTTCATCTCTTCAATGACACAAACTTGCTCAAAGCACGACGCATGGCTTCGAAACAAACGTTTCATACCCTTTCCTCGCCCTGCTCTCTTCTACACACTGCTGTTGATCTAGTCCAAGTTAGATAAAGAGATCTAGTCATGCCCCACATTTGCAGCCCAAAAAGTACTTAAAGTAAATGCCTTGGTGACACGCCAAAACACAACACCAAACTGCGACCAAGTGAAATCGCAGTCCGGGAATGCAGTAACAGGCAAGTTATATTATCAACCCGGGGTCTAGATCTACTGCTTACTCCGTGATTCTCTATTATCTAGCAAACTAGTTCGAGTGATTGTTGTTAAAAGCAAAAGCAGTAAGAAAGCAGTAAATTGTTCGGTTTTCAAAGTCAGGAAAGAGTCACTCGGGATTGAGTCCCCCTAGGACACAAGAGTTTTTTCTTTCATAAATATCCAGCTTTTCAACTGCGGTAGACTGTCTTTTTGAATCTGTGCTCCTCGCAACATGATTTATTAATGTTATTCACCGATGTAACTCATGATAGTTGTGTTTGTTGATATGTAAAGGCCCTAGCCCCTTGATTAGGTCCAATGGTAATTCCCTGTGTTGATTCACTGTTGATTAGACTGCGGAAGTCCCGACAGTAGGTTGGAATCTCTTAAGCTGACCAAGCCCTCTCAGTCTAACTACCCGGCAGACGACTAGTCTTCAACGGGATAGAAAGCTGAGGCTATGAACACAGAACTCCACTACTGGAATTGAACTCCAGTACAAAGCAGTAAACTGGCTAACTCTCGTATAGCCAACCTCCTACTATTGAATGAAGATGCTCTAATAAACTAATCAGATTCTATCTATCTCAAGTTGCAGCAGAAATCGAGAAAAGCTGATCAGACTCCAATCAACTCAATAAACATGCATCATTCGATTAAAATCAAACAGTAATATCATCCCAAGTCATTACAATCAAATCCCTGACACAAGGAACTAGGGTTCTTCATACCCAAGTGAGAGAAGGGTTCTACTCCATAGAGAGAAGAGAAAACAGTAATCGAAGTAGTCATACTCATAATGATGAGGAAAATCTGCTCCGGGATGATTTCCACTCCTATGACGATCTCCAAGCTCGATTCGATGAAACCCAGCTCCAAGATAGCTTCTAGGATGTGTTCTTCGTACTTTCTCTCTCTAGGGCTCTGTTTTTGCTTTGAAAATCCGATTCTCCCACTTTTGGCTCGGAATTGGCTCAAAAACCAGAATTTCCCGACTCACACGGGCAGGCCACACGGCCGTGTGGCTCACCACTTTGCCCGTGCGAGTCGAAACGCGGCGTATCATTAAGTTCGAACTTCAGCCTTCTCACACGGCCTGGGTTGCACGGCCGTGTGAGAAATCCAGTCTGCCCGTGTTCGGCCTCGGCAAATATCACACGGCCACAATTGCACTTTGCACGGCCGTGTGAATTTCATGGGTGGCCCGTGTGTGGCCTCGGGAAAAATCACACGGTCATCTTGCTTACTTGCACGGCCGTGCGATGCCCCGGTCTGCCCGTGCGACTTCCTTGACACCTCGCCAAGCGTCCGATCTTCGTCCAATCGACCCCAGACTCGCTCCCAAGCCTCCATTCACGTACTAGGACCTGAAATATCACAAACAAGCACAACCTAGTGTGAAATCGGCCTAAAACACGAGAATCAACACCTCAAACGGTGTAAGAACGGGGGTAAAACATGTGTAAATAACGGTCTATCAAACTCCCCCACACTTAATCGTTTGCTTGTCCCCAAGCAAACCAAGTCAGACACCAGGTAAGCTTACATATTTCAATCAACCAACATTGGGGACAAGTCATAAAGGCACAGAACACGTGAATCGTACTGGTTTTCAAACATCAATACATGAACAACCTCAATAGCAACCTGGACCACCACCACAAAGGACATTCGAGTGCAGCAAAATCGAGTGAAGGAAGAGTCTCCCTTCTGTTCACCAGCCAACCTATACTGTCACTCTAGAAAATGGCCAAGTGTAACCACTTCCTAAAGCGTAGTATAGCGGGTTTGGGTTTTATTATCAACCCGGGTCCTAGATGTGATGACTACTCGGTGAATTCTTGTTATTTAGCGGTGAACTTTTAGTGCAACTCAAGCAAACAAAACACAAAGCAAGTAAACGGTTTGTTGTCAAGTCAAGAGAGGTCACCCGGATATGGTTCCCCCTAGACTGCAGTTAAGTCGGATTGCCATTTACCAAGTTCAGTTTTCATGAAAGTTATACTGCGGAAGGTTCTCAATTAGCCTGAAGTCTCGACTAAAGGTCTCCAGACCCTCTCAATCTGAGTCTCTAGCGGGCGACTAACCTCCACCGGAGTAAACAGATTGAGGCCCTAACGAACCAAACCTCCACTACCGAATTAACTTCGGTACAGAATAGCGAATTTGCTCCTCGACTAAAGTCACCAATTCGCCACCTTCGATTAAGGGTACTCTATCAACCTAGGCAGATATTCTCATTCCAGGTGAAAGCAGAAACAACAGGAATTTGATCAGGATTCAAGTCATTCAATCATTCAAACCTCAATCGAATATAATCAATTCACAAACTCTGCACTTGGGTTCATACAATCAGACCTAGCATACAAATCTAGGGTTCCCCATACCCAGATGAATGGGGAAACTACTCCATAGAGAAAGAAGCAAAAGCAGATTCAGACGCGGAAATCATACTGTGAAGTTGGATTTCTGCTTCTGGACGTTTAATCGCACTTCTCCAAGCTCAAACCGGGCTCCAATGGTGTTGAAGATCGATCTATGGCGCTTGGGAACTCTGGTTCGTCGCTTTCTCTCTCTAGGAATCGATTTCTCTCTCAAAAACTCGGAACCTTTCAATGCTGGCCTTCTTCTTCCTTATATCAGCTGCCTGGTCGCGATACCCGGTCGAAATACCCGGTCGGGTATATTGGGTTTCGACAGGGCATTATCGCAGCGCACCGTTTCAGTCAAAGGAGAAATCCCCGGTCACTCGCCATAATCCCCGACCGGGGATTTTGCTGTTGTGCCCGGGCCCCTCTCTGCTTCTCGGGCGCCCAAAAGTGATGAATACCCGGTCGGGTATTTGACCACCTGACCGGGTATTTTCCTCCTACTGCCCACTTCGTCCCAACTTCGCTCCTTTCGACCCAGAACTCGTTTCTCCGCCTCGATTCCAACGCCGGGACCTGAAATATGACATAAACACACAACCTAGCGTAAAATCGGCTTAAAACACGAGATTCAACATCACAAACGGCTTCAGAATAGGGGTGAAAACATGTATAATTATCGGTCTATCAAACTCCCCCACACTTAACCGTTTGCTTGTCCCCAAGCAAACCTAACTCAAACCAATGCAACTCTCCAGACCTCTATAGCAACAAACAACCTCGATCGTAGGTAGCGGACTTCCTAGATCATTTAGCAGCTTACGAGGTCAACCGACGCACAAGTCATCTCATAGCCTCTTCGGCGAGAACGCTAGTCTCGAATCGGCATCGTGGCAAATAGTGAACAGAGGACAAATGAATCGTGGACGAAGAGACTGTCAAAAACAAAAGATCATGGACTCACATTTTTCAAGGTGCTCTTATTTTCTTTTTGAAGACGGTTGGAACCCCTTTTTTTCCTTTTCTTTTGTTCTCTTTTTTTCTTTGTTTTTCCAAGGGTTCCAACCCGATTTTCAGAAAACGGGGCTCCCACCTAGCAAAGGTTTTGCGGGAACCCGGCTCTTACCGGCCATGCCGGGAGCGAATGTCTCGAGCCTCGTGCGGGGAAAGATATGTAAGGGGGCTGGAGGTAGTAGGTCGAAATTGGGAACGGATTCCCGTCTCCCCTTACACACTTTTGCCCTATTCGCACGGGAGACGTTATTGTAAAGCACATTTTCGAGCACCTTTTATTTCAAAACATGATACAGGAGTCCATGACAGGTAGAGAGTCAACAACACCACACCATTCAAGGGTCCTAAGATCACTAATTCACACAATCAACCAACACAATATGAAGAAGAAACGAGACTTCTTAAATGCATCAACATCCTCCATAGTGCTACACTACCTCCCTAGGTTGTAAATCACTACAGAGACTGTCAATTCAAAGCATACTGAGCAGGTAATTGCAAGGAACACGTACTTGGAGCCCTCAAATTTAAAAATTTGGACAGTGGACTAGGCTCCAAGCACACAAACAGAGCTAATGCAGTCAAAAGATAAACATCCCCCCCACACTTAAGATCGACATTGCCCTCAATGGAGAAGAGGAAAGGAAAGGGGAACGATGTTACCGGTGTGCACAGACTGCAGGAGACTGGAAATGGACCAGTCGGCATGGGACGGACTGGAGAGAGGACCAGTCGGGAACACAGACAGAGCTAAAAGAGACCAAAAAGCTCAAACACATACGTTAGGTCCAACGGTCAGCCCAATAGTACAGCATCCAAAATGAAAAGAAAAAGAAACAAAAACCGACACAAAACAGACAGTTTGCATGCTGACACAGATAAGAACTCTCAAAACATGCCCCTAGGGCCCTCCGAGACCGGAGAAATCAATCTGATCCATAAGGTCGTCGACGCCATCATCCGGTGGCTGCCGTGGCGGCGAATGCTCCCACCGGGTGGTCCAGTGGTGCTCCTCTGGAGGGTGGCAAGCCTGGAGCAGATGCTCGGAATACTCCATCAGACGGCGGCCTCGATCTCTCTCCCGCTCGATGAGAGCAGTAGTCACTCCCATGCTGGTCTCCAAGCGGCCTAGGCGCTCATCAACGCCCGTCATCCTGGACCGGTACTCGGCCTGGTGGGCCGAATACTGCTGGTAGAACTGGACCTGATGGTCCATGAGCTGCTGGTTCTGAAGACCAAGCTGCTGGAACTGGAGCCCCATCTGCTGGAACTGCTTCGTGAAGAAGTCCATCGACGGACCAGAAGGACCAGAGGAGGACTCACCTCTCACCGGTCTCCGTTGAGGCTGAAGGTCCCCAGGCGGTGAGAGCGGGGGCTCCGGCTCATCGGCATCCATAGCGCCGTCATCATCATCATCCGCATCCTCATCGACCTCCTCTCCTGAATAGTCAGCATCCTCCTCGTCCTCATCAAGATCCACAACCTCCGCAGGGGGCATAGAGAGCCCATCCACCCAGGTGCGGATGTCGTCAGTGGCCAGGAGGCGTGCACTGTGGAGCACATCCCTGCTGAGGGGTGCGGAGCCGCCCTGCTCGGTCGCATCGTGAAGCCCCTCGAAGCTGATCCCGAAGTGGCGGGCCAATCGGGTGATCAGAGGACCACAGAAGAGGTGGGTAGGATTCTCGTGGACTCGGGAGAATGTGGTGGCCACGAAAGGTCCCAAGTGGAGCATGTCCTCCGGATCCCCCATACAGGACATGGCGTACAGGACCCGCTTCGGGACCTTGTGCGAGCCGGTGGCGTTGGGGACGATGGAGCGGGTGATGAGCAGGTTCAGAATGTGCCACTCCGGCCTGAGGGTGCTGACGTAGGTCTGGCCAGCCACGAAGAAGTCATCCCGATAGGCGAACCTGACG